TTGGCGAAGATGAAGAAACCATGTATGGACGACTACTAGATGTTCTCGTGCGTGATATAAAACTTTTGACTTACGTAAGTTTTAACAATTTTTTTGTTCACTGATGTTTGCTATAGTTGTCGTTTATTTCCTTGATAATTATTTTAGTTTGCTTTTTGTATCACTTTTAATTATCTAAGTCGAGTTGCTCGATTTCGTCAAGTTGCTGGTGTCTGCATTGTCTTACTTTGTAAAATTGCCTTTGCATAAGATTAGCATCCTCAAATTAAAAACTTTACATTTCATTGATAAAAGAGGAAAAGCCATGTATGTATGCATCGGAATTGATGTGGGATGAATGAAGATTTCTTCTTTTATTTTAGAATAATGCTGCTTTAGTCGACGAAGTTTCTAGACTAAACTACGCTATCCTTATTGCGTCAGAAGAACGGAAGTAAGTGAGGTTTTGATTTGAGGCGAGAAGGGGACATTTGGAATTATAGAGTACTGGCCAGGCGATCATGTCATCATGATAGGAATCGCATACGAAGATTGCAAACCGCTAATAAACGGAAGTCGGATGCTCAAAAGCGCCAACAAGAACAGCTGACTTTAGCAGAAACGCAAGAAAATATCGCTCAAATCAAGGCAAAAATGGCAAAAACTATTGCTAGCCCTCAGAAGGTGACTCCGCTATGGTGTAAATCCTTTTACAATCATCTCTGAAAATTTGTTTCATTTGATGCTATTAGAAAAAGTGGAATTTATCACTTCAAAAAAATTATCCACACTGTGTAACGACCACTGCGACTCCTTCTTAAATTATTTTATTTAGGTTAAACCTGCCTTGTCATCTCCGCGACCTACCTTGGACGTTGCAGCAATCAAGCGCAGCGTGGAGGCGGAACAACGTGCGCTTGAAGATCGAGGTCCTTCAAAAAGGACGAAGCGAAAGGCAAGCTTTATTTTTCTGTTTTTGTTATCTATTTAAGACTAAGTTTTGTAGCGTGAACTCAGAAGCTTCCGTAAGATTTTATTTTGTGTTTATTATCCGCACCTTCTTCTAGGCAGGAAGTTCAAGATCACAGCGTAAACGTTTAGAGTTACAACGTTCAGAAAAGTTGTCTA